TGGTTTTGGTAGTCCCTGTCTCTGCATTGTTCGCTACGACATCTTCTGTCTCATCCTCAGCAACATACTCAATCAAAGCCAGAGGGAGGGGCTCTGTGGCAACACTAGCACTGCCGACATGATGTGTAGAAGGTTCAACAGATACACTTTGGTCAGCTTTCAATCATCATCTGCGGTCATAAATCGCCACAAACAGAGGCAACCTCCTCATCTCCCAATACAGTCCATTGCATCCATCAAGTCGGCATCGGTTAAATTGGTGAAAGCGGACACAGTCCTGTTCCAATAGCAAACTGATATTCCTTGATTCGAACCATGCTTCACTCTCTTTGCTATTTCATCTTTTATGTCCATCAAGTTGGTTGAATCACGATCAACAATAAGCTCAAGATTTGAATCTGGGTGCACTACATGACTACCATCATCGCAAACCTCGACATAATTTGGAACGCGCGCAGCAATTCTGCACGCAGAACTACTATCCATCCTAAAACAAATGAAAAAAAATGGTAGAGAACAATGAAAAGTGATTCATAATTGCAACCCTAAATCGACCCTAAATCGACCGCGGCTTTAACGCATATTGATAACGCCAAATAGAACCAAATCACTTGATGGAGATACACTGAAATAGTTAATTGAACAACTTGCACATCAAATGGCCAAAAATGCTTACCCTTCTGGAACCCAACCAAGATTTAGGCCCTTCGATTGCCATTCATTCCTCGGTCCCAAGCGATTCCTTCGTTTCTCTGGTGCCATCTCGTCCAACTCCTCTGCTTGGATCTATGGACACATAGCTGCGGAGAGGAAGGTGGCGCCGATTGTGGACAACGAGGGAGCGCGGGTGAGGAGAGGAGGGCGACGGCTAAACTGGTGGCGGCGGTGAGGCCGATGGCGGCTGTGGATGGGGAATTGCAAGAGCAAATTAGGTCAACCAGCAAGTCAAGTCGACCTGTGGGCACCCATTGTCATTTCCAAAAGTTCTCTCATCCAAAACAAGGGAAATGATTGTTCTTCATCATGTGTGTTACAACAAAGAAACCCGAATTCGCAATGTGTCTCAGCCAATAACACAGTTGGCGGTGTGCCGCAGCCAAAACAACGTTTCCCCAGTGTGCCAGCCCAAAATTTCCCGAAAAGATTTTAGAGATGACACAAACTCACCTCTCAAACCAACTCCTCAACTGTTCAAAGGGCAAAACCTCCCCCTCTTTTTTTACAATTTCTCACCTCCAATGGAGCTCAACAATGGCATGAACAGCTACAGGCATGAGGAGAAAGAAGCATATTCGTAGGGGGTTTATTTTTAAGGGCGGTTGACTAAGAACACCACCCCTGTTATCAGATTTTAGACGCGATTCTTTTAAGAGAACCGTCCCTCAAACTGTCTTCTAGAGATGATTCGGTAAAGACGTTCATCCCAAAAATACTATTTTCAGGTGTAGTTCTCTAAAGGAAGCCGCCCCTAGAAATGGATATGTTTCTAGCGTCGGTTTTCTTAACGAAACCGTCTCTGAAAAATATATTTCCAGCAAAGATTGTGTGTAAAAATTATTTCTAAAAATGATTTCTATACTAGTGTTTTATTAGATTTTATATTGGTGCGTATCGTATATGCGAATAATCCCATGCTGGCGTGCTTGGAATTGAACTTGATTAGACTGGATCCATGTTAATTTTTTGAACTAGTTGTTTCGTTAAATTTTAACGATTATGTCATTAGGGAAATATGCTTCCGGCATTGAGAAAAGAACTATTTGAGATGTATGTGTCCAGAAAGGTTAAACGGTTGGTCCCTGGTCGGAATAAATTTCCAACTATTTTTAGGAAAATTTATCAGGTTTGGCGGATCCTGATAAAGTGGCCTGGCTCCCTCCCTCAGAAGAAAATTTTAAGATAATTTAACATGTATGAGTTGTTTTCTAGAAATATTACTTTTGCATATGTACTTAAGTGTTTATTAGTAACATTAAGTCGTTCGCGTGTATATAAGGGCCTAGATTTTGGTTTCGCCCGGCCCTGAAAACTCAGGACCGACCTTGATAAAATGCTTTCGTTTTTTTAATATAGAGGTTTTTATCAAGCACTTAGATATCTAATATATCTAGATATATAGTGAAAACAATATATCTAGAGAAAAGCCAAAACGTCTTGTATTAGATAGTATTTATCTAGTGATTATTGGATTACATGTAAAATGTAGGTATGGATTTCACCTTTTTTTTAAAAGCTCATAATAAATATATGAGAGAATTCCTTATTTGACACTGGGAAAATGAGTCGTTCCTTTCTTGGTCCTGAAATTTTCTTCGTTCCCTATTTGACACTCACTTCAACTTTCGTTCCTAATTTGACATTCTGTCAAATCAGTTATCTAACGGTGTTAATCGTCAAGAAAAAGAAGTTTTGCTCCTAAAAAAAAAAAAGCGAAGCAAATTTGAGAGAAAAAAACCCGCGCCTTTTTTTTTAGCTGGACGCATGCATCAGAGGCGGGCGCAGGTTTTTTTTTCTCTCAAATTTGCTTCGCCGTTTTTTTTCTAGGGGCAAAAACGTCTTTTTAACGGCCAGTTAACACCGTTAGCTAACGGATTTGACGGCAGTGTCAAATTAGGAACGAAAGTTGAAGTGAGTGTCAAATAGGGAACGAAGAAAATTTCAGGGCCAAGAAAAGAACGACTCATTTTCCCAGTGTCAAATAAGGAATTCTCTCTAAATATATTGACATTCCTATGCGTTCTACTGTCTATCTGCAAGTCTCTGAAACATATCGTAGCATATTCTTCTTATTTGGACAGGCAAGCGCACGGACGTCCGGCCCTAGGTCCACGTCCAGACGCTGCTTCCCGCACTTGCTCCGTGCCGCACGCCCCGCTCACTTGGGTTCCGCGCCACTCGAACGACTCGTGCTGCACCCACGCCGCCCACCTCCACACGGGCCCATGCATCACGCTGCTCCCCACGTCCCGTGCCTGCTTCGTGCCGCACGCCCCGCTCACTCGGGTTTCGCGCCACCTGAACGACTCGCACCCCATCCACGTTGCCCGCCCCCACGCGGATCCACGTCGCCTGAACATCACCAGTGTCGAGAAAAGAGGAGACACCGAGGCAAGGTAGCAGAAGGCGAGAACAGAGATGCAATACCAGATCTACTTTTGAAAAACATCCAGTTACAATACTTGCAACATGCATATGAAGACAAATGAAACGTTTGAAACATGCGTTTGAAACACTTGTAAAAAAGCACATGAAACACTTGAAACCATTGCAACACATACGCAACATCCAGATAAAACACTTGCAACATATGTATAAAACATATGCAACACCTAGATAAACACATTTGCATCATACGTCTGAAAAAACAGATAAAACATTGGGAATGAATGATTGCAACATAAGTTACAACATTGCAACATATGCAACATCCTGATCTGCTTTTACAACATCCATATGAAACCCATGCCCATACCTCTGAAACAACTGAAACACTTGAAACATACGCTTGCAACATGCGCTTTCAACACAATGTCACCTTGCTACTTAGACGAATGGAGCTCATCGTTGTGGAGCTCGACGTCGGCGCGGAGCTCGATGCCACAGAGTGAAAGGAGGTCATCGGTGCCCGTGATGGACCACCAACGGAAGAAGGCCCTGACGCGGATGCCGTCGAGGCCTGAGATGCAGCGGTCGTCGAGGTAGCCCTTGAGGCGGTCGCTAAAGGCGGTGAGGTAGCTCCCCGCGGGCAGCAGGATGTGATAGCTGGAGCGGAGGTCGATGGCGAAAGTCCCTAGAGCCGGTGTCGAGCGTGTAGGCCCGCGCGTTGGCCGGGAGCAAGCCACGCGAGGAAGCCCCGGAGGCAGAGCTTGTCGTACGCGGTGGTGGCCGCGCGGTGACAAAGTGGAGTCCGGGTAGGCGAGCGGGAGCAGGAGCGACGCCGTGAGGAGGGCGACGAGGAGGTGGTGCGCCATCGCGGGTTGTCGCGCAGGTCAAAGATTGAGGGGGGGGGGGCGGAGCCGTGGAGGGGTAGAGAGCGGACGGGAACAGGGAGACATGTGGACGCAGTGGAACAATCCAGAATGGGAGGAGTCGGGCTGTTGAAATATCCGGACGGGAGTCGCAGGACAGATCACTGCGGTTGCTTGGGCCACCCGTCCGTAGGACCAGCCAGGTGGCGTTTGGACGGACGGGACGAACGGATCTCCTGACCCAGCATTATCGCTTCTTATTTTCCTTTTTTTTCAGAAATGTTATACAACACACGTGTGTTTTAGCAATAAAAAACACATGGATTTTAGTCCACTGGATCGTTGCATGCGTTTGTTTGCCTCCGTCAGATCTGCCAAGCCGGAGACTTCCAGGTATGCGAACACGAATCTGACAACCCATGACGCGACGGCCAGAGCCCCACGACGCATGACGCGAACGCGGGAATCTGACGACCCGTGACGAACGGGCAGGCAATGAAACCAACCCCTCTGTAATTTGTCCTTCCATAGAAAAAAAATTGTTTTCTATGATATGTGATTTGTGATATGTGGATCTGTGATCTTGTGATTGTCTAAAGGTAGAAGAAGGCTAGAGGTAGAAAAATGATGAGGGTTGTTGGATCTTAATCTTATGGTATAAAAAAATTCATGTGTTGAAATTATATAAAACACATGTGCAGTAGACAGACTTATTTTTTTCTTCTCGCCCGTGGGACAGTTTCTTCTTTCTTGTTTTTTAGCTGAATGAAGGCACGGAAAGACAATAACCCTTCTTCTGTGACGACTCATCGAGACATACATACACCGCGAAAATATCTTGAGAAAAGTACACATTGCGTGCCTAATCAGTTATCACGTCCAACGCCCCACCGCCTACGAGTACGCCTGTCGTCTTGTCCCTTCTTGAGTGGATGAACACGGGGGCGCCACGGCAAACGCCCTGCACCAGTCTGCCTCGCCTTGCTTGCTCCAGAATCGTCTCCTAACTAATCGCTGCACTGCCCAGTACCGATGGCGGGAGCTTCGGCTTGCCACTCCCCGGATCCGTGCACAGACGACGGCGAGCATGCCGTTCCCGACGCTGGCACCACCGGTATCCCCGTCGTCGACTTAGATGCCCTTGTCAACGGCGCGGCCGAGCAACGGGCGCAGGCGGTCCGGGACGTCGGCCGGGCGTGCCAGGACTGGGGCTTCTTCATGGTATGCATGCCATGCTGTTCCTCTTGCTAGCTACACGTACAAGATCCCCGATTCCCCGGCCGTCTCGAATCGCTAATATAATAACGGATTCTCCCGGTCTAGCACGACATGGAAGGTGGTCAACCACGGGGTGCCGGAGGATCTCAAAGAAGCGTTTATGGAGGCGTGCGAGGAGCTGTTCAGCTCACCGGAGGAGGAGAAGGCGGAGTACCTGGAGGCCGGGCCGATGGCGCCCGTGCGCGTCGGCTCAGGCTTCTACGCGGCCGTCGACGGCGCCCGGTACTGGCGGGACTACTTCAAGATGTTCGCGCAATCGCGCACCCGGAGCTCCACTGCCCCGCGACGCCAGCGAAGCTAAGGGAGGTCGCGACGGAGTACGCGGCGACGACGCGACGCCTGCTGCTGTCGCTGTCCACGGCCGTCTCCGAGGCCATGCGCCTCGAGTCCTGCTTCCAGATCCTCGTCGCCAACCGCTACCCGCCCTACACCGCCGGTCCGGGGCTGGGGCTGCCCGAGCACTCCGACCACGGCTTCCTCACCCTGCTCTTCCAGAACGGCGTCGACGGGCTCCAGGTCCACCACGGCGGGCGGTGGCTCCTCGCCACGCCCCTCCCCGGCGCGTTCTTCGTCATCGCCGGCGACCAGCTGGAGGTGGTAGCAACGCAACGAACCAGACGCCGCTGCCGCCGGCCGGGCGCGGCGCATCTTTACTCACTTCGGTTAGTTCCACGGGTTCTTAATTGTCACTGACTGTGTGCGTGAGCAGATCGTGAGCAACGGGAGGTACAAGGGCGTTCTCCACCGCGCGGTGGTCGGCGGCGAGCGCGCGAGGATGTCGATGGTGAGCATGATCTCGCCGTGCCTGGACACCGTCGTCAAGCCGGTCCCGGAGCTGGCGGCGGACGGGTAGGGATTGGAGTTCCGGAGCGTCAGGTACAGAGATCACATGGAGCATCAGCAGAGCAACAAGCTCGACGGGAAAGCAGCGCTGGACATCGCCCGGATGCAGTGTGTCGTTACGGTTACGGGGCCAGAGAACTGACATTGTTTCGGCTAGTAAGGCCCCGTTTGACAGGGCTTCTTCAGGAGTTATTTGGAGTTGTTTTTTCGCCAAACAGGTTAAAGTGAAATAGCTTTACTGGTAAAGCCCCTAAAAACATGCTTTCATAATGATTTGGGGTGGGATAGAGCAAAAAAAAAAAAAAGTGGCTTCTCTCGGCTTCTTCTCCAGGCCTCTAAAAACATGCTTTCACAGGGAAGCTATTTTGCCAAACGGTTTACCAAAATCGCTTCAGCTCCACCGGTAGAACTGTTTGTGGAGCTGAAACAAAAAAAATGGCTTCACTAGTGAAGTAAAGGCCTGCCAAACGGGGCCTAAGAAGCAATGTGTTGGCGCTAATGAATAAATCGTTTTAATAAGAGATTATATAGCTGTTAAGTACTATGCAAATTGGTTGTGTGCAAAACTTTTGCTGAGACCAGAATAAAAATTTCTTTTTTCTAAAAAAACTATACGTTTATCCATAAGTATGTAGCAGCTTGAGGAGCGATGGCCACTAGTCACCACGGAAATAAGTGCATCTCCATGAAGCTCTATGCAACCATGACGTATCAAAATGTATCACGAGATTTAAAAGAACAACTAAAATAGTTTCAATAGGCTATCGAAACAATCCTTTATCTTTTCCACTCTCCAAAACATTCCTTACAACTATATTGCTCTCTAAACTCAATATATGATAGTTCTTGCATGAGTTTTTTTTTGCATAAGGAATTTTATAATAAGCCAAGAAAGTACGAAAACAAAACTTAGAGAGTCCGCCAGAGACACAGGGGATATATTAAGATAATATTCACATGTCTCTCTAAATAAAGATATGAATATTGAAGTCCTGAGAGACTCTTTGAGTTGCTCTAAAGTAATGGCCAAGCTCACTCTCGAGTCTAGACTATATTATTCCCTCCATTATAAATTATAAGACGATTTGACTCTTTTAGTTATATTGCTTTTAGTCTTTTACTACATATCTAGACATAGTGTATCTCTAAGTGCATAGCAAAAGCTATGTATCTAGAAAAAACCAAAACGTCTTATAATTTGGAACAGAAGAATCGAAATTTTAGCCTCCTTTCCCATCTTCTATACGCCCCAACCATTTCCTCCATCCCTCAACCCACACTACAATTGTGGTCACCAGCGATCGAACAAACTACTAGAGTGGAGTTCACACGGCACCCGTTTGAATTATCAGAAACGCTCTAACCCAAGCGTCCGACGTCCGGACGCTACACCCTCTCTCTACGTCCACCCGTCCTCTGCGCCACCGCTGCACGTGTTGCCCCCACCAGGCCCTCTGTGCACCGCCGCCCAACTCCGCGTTGCCAGCGAGCTCCGCGTCACCTGCGAGCTCACCAGTGACCTCCACACGCCACCCACCTGGCTTTTGTGCGTCGCCGCATAGCTCCATGTTGCCGACGAACTCCGCGCCGCCGGTGACCTCCATGCGTCGACGAGTCTCCATTTGCGATGCAACAAGGAGATGTCTGCGCTAAAAGAGCATGTTGCACACGTATGTTTTAAGTGTTTTAGGTGTTTCAGAGGTATGCTGCAAGTGTTTTATATTGATGTTGCAAAAGTAGATCGGAATATTACAAAAGTAGATCGGGATGTTGCACATGTTGCAATGACAAAAATACATATGTTGTAAGTCTATGTTTCAAGTGTTTTAGGTGTTTTAGACATATGTTGCAAATGTTTCATCTGGATATTTTTAAAAGTAAATCTTGGTGTTGCATATGTTGCAGTGGCTATAAACACATATGTTTCAAGTGTTTCATTTGTTTTCATATGTATGTTGCAAATATTTTATCTGGATGTTTTAAAAGTAGATCTGGTGTTGCATATGTTGCTATGGCTATACACTCATGTTTTAAGTGCATGTTTCAAGTGTTTTATTTGTTTTTCAGACGTACGTTGCAAGTGTTTCATTTGGATATTTCAAAAGTAGATCTTGGGGAAGCACATGTGCTGCTAGTGCGCCGTCGTGGGTCACTATGCGCGCCTGCTGGTGGTGGTGCTGCTGCTGCGTGTATACGGGCGCGTGAAATGGAGCGGGCTCGGGGTGGTCCCCGTGCATGCGTGGACCCGCGCGGCCTTCAGAGTGGGATGGGTGCGGACAAAACTATGTATGTAGAAAGCCAAACGTCATATAATTTAGAACAAAAGGATTAGCATTTTAGGTTCCTCTCCCATCTTTTACAGGCCTTATCGGGTATTTTTATTAGGGATACCCAAAGCAAGAAAATTAGTGCCCACGCTGACTCCCTCGGATGGCTCGAGACGTATTAAAAGGTCACGCCCGACCCTAAGGCCGCGGGCTTCATCTTGCCCGAACCCTCGGGTCGCGGGCTCCGTCTCGCCCGACCCCAAGGACGCGGTTTCCGTCTCACCCGACCCCTTAGGTGCGGGCTCCGTCTCACCCGACCTCGAGGCCACGGGCTCTGTCTCACCCAACCCCTTGGGTGCGGGCTCCGTCTCACCCGACCCCTTGGGTGCGGGCTCCGTCTCTGAAAGCTCTAGTTTGATTTTGGTGAATTGATGAAACCCTAAGTGCTAACCTAGTTTATCAAGTGATCATGAGATAGGTAGCACATTCCAAGTGGTGAAGCAAATGAAGATCATAACATGATGATGCCATGGTGATGATCAATTGCTTGGACTTGGAAAAGGATAAAGAAAAACAAAAGACTCAAGCCAAAGGTATAAGTGGTAGAAGCTATTTTGTTTCGGTGATCAAGACACTTAGCGAGTGTGATCATAGTTAGGTTTGATAGCCGTATTATTAAGAGGGGTGAAACTCATATCGAAATACGGTTATCAAAGTGTCAGTAGATGCTCTAACTCATTGCATATGCATTTAGAATCTAGTGGAGTGCTGACACCCTTGAAAATGTTTGTGAAAATATGCTAACACACATGCACAAAGGTAATACACATTGTGTTTAGCACTTGGGAGCAAGGGTTCGAAACTCCACCGGCGGAGTGTCCGCCCGTAGAGTGCGGACAGTCCGATGGTTCCACCGGCGCCCTGTACAGAAAAGACAGGGTTTCACAGAGTGCACCGGACGCTGGTCATGCAGTGACCAGACGCTAGGGTCTGCGTCCGGTCAGTGGCGCACAGTGAAGGCTACCTTTGGTCTCTTGACCGGACGCAGGCGACCGGAATCTGGCTGAACACTATTCAGCGTCCGGTCGTGCTAATGTGGTGTCGCACAGAGGAGACAGCGAGTGATCGGACGCTGGGTGAGTCCAGTCGGGAGTGACCGAACGCGTCCGGTCGTGACTGGAACCTTACTTGAAATGAACGGACTCTGGGGTCCTGCGTCCGATCACTTTCAAGCAGCGTGTCCGGTCACAACTTAAATGTACCGATGATCGTTGAGATCGGACGATTAACATTTATAGTAGGGGCCACGTGGCATGCATCGCGCGACCAGACACTGAGGTCCTGCGTTCGGTCGATCTGACCAGTGCGTTCGGTCACCCTAACGTTTTAGAGAACAGAGAGCCAACGGCTCTATTTCGTGGGGACTTCTATTTAAGCCCCATGGCCGGCTCAAGCTCACTCCATTAGCCATTTTGCATTGACATAGCAACCTTGTGAGCTTAGCCAAACCCTCCCACTCATCTCTATCATTGATTCAATATCTTTGTGAGATTTGGAGAGAATCCAAGTGCATTGCTTGAGTGTTTGCATCTAGAGGCACTTGGTATTCGGGTTTCGCTGTGGGATTCACTTGCTTCTCTTGGTGGTTGCCGCCCACCTAGATGGCTTGGAGCAGCGAGGATCATTGAGCGGAGGTTGGTGATTGTCTCTGGCTCCGATCGCAGTGACTGTGAGGGGTTTTGTGCCTTCCCCGGTGGAGCACCGAAAGGTAACTTTAGTGGATTGCTCGTGTCATTGAGTTACCTCACTTGTGGATAGGTTCTTGTGGTGTCCTATTGTGTGGACGAGGTTTGTAGAACACCTCTTAGCCGCCGAACCACCAAGTGTTGGTCGACACAACGGGGACTTACGTGCCGGCAAGCACGTGAACCTCGGGAGAAAAATTGGTTCTCTTGCCCTTTGCTATTCTCCCGGTGATTGATTTAGTAGTCATCTTGTGATTGGTTCACTCCTCTACACGGCGGTATAATCACTCTACTCATTCATTTATATTCTTGCAAACTAGTTGTAGCAAGCTCTTTAGTGTAGCTAGAATTGAGAGCTTGCTTTGTAGTTTAAGTTCATCTAGTGGAGCTCTTTAGTGTAGCAAGTGTGAGAGCTTTTAGTGAGTAGTGACATAGAAAATTATATGTTTAGTCATCATAGCAACTAGAATTATTGGATAGGTGGCTTACAACCTTTGTAGAGCTAGAGCAAGTTTGTATTTCGCTATTGGTTATACTAATCAAATTGCTCTAGTTGGTTTGTAGATTTTTAAATAGGCTATTCATCCCCCTCTAGCCATATTAGGACCTTTCAGTCTCGTCCGACCTTGAGGCCACGGGCTCTGTCTCGCCCGACCCCTTGGGTGCGGGCTCCATCTTGCTCAAGGTCGTGGGCTCCGTCTCGTCCAACCTCAAGGACGGGGGTTCTGTCTCGTCCGACGGGGACCCATACCGTCGCCAACCACTTCAGGTCCAAGCGTATGGCCCTGGGTCAAAACTCTGACGCCAAGGAAAAGGCTGGCACGCCTCGATGTAACCCGTGGCTATGACGGGCCATACCTAGGGATTCATATCAAGAACAGTATTGGACGTGACATTGTTGTTCTGCCTAATCCTAGTACGGATACTGACAGGCGCGTTAGTTCACCACGACGTCTACCGGTAGGAGTGGAACGCCATGACCGACAGATAACGTCTGCGCATGACGCTAGTGACAAACAAGACCGTGACATGGATCCGTCCCTGTTGACATCTACATGATCGACGGGACCCGCATGAAGGAGAAGAAGGACCCGGCAACCATGTAAGCCTTCTTTTCTCTCGTTCTTCTCATTTTCCTCCTCTATAACCCGCGCTTTCCCTTCGTTTATAAAAGGGAAAGCAGAGCGCCCCACGCTAGGGGAAAAAAGACAAGAGATCGAAACACAAGAGCACGACACGAGTACACGACTGAGCGGCAATCGAGCTCTCAACACCCGTTCACCCCTTCCACCAGAGACTTGGGATCCTTTCCCTCTCTCACCTGTTTGTAACCCCTACTGCAATCTAAGTGCTGGTAACACGAGCAGCAGCGAACTAGACGTAGGGACGTTCCGTCCGATCCAGTATAAACCCTTATGTCATCCGAGCACACCATCCAAACCAGACGCGCAAATACAAATTTACTCGTCAATGGTCTAAAAACACCGACATATATACCCCAACTATTCGCTTCCCCTCGACCCAGACTGCAAGACCCAGACTGCAAAAGTGTCGCCAGCGATCGAATCAACTACGAGAGTGGAAGCAAAGCAAGACGGTTCACTCGGCACCCATTTGAATTATCTAGGGCTTAATTGTTGCAGTAGACTCATGGCAAGAGATAAACAGAACAGCTTCTCAGCTCTCCGCCTCCACTAAATATTATTACACAAATTAGCAGAGAAGGCGTAATCACAGACCGTCGTAGACGTAAAGTGGAGGGTAAAGTACACTTTACAACCTTCAACTTACGCCAAAGTTCGATTTTCAACCTTCAACTATGAAACCGGTCAAGAAACACCCTTCAACTATCAAAACCGGACGAATTTGGTCCTCGGCCGGTTTCAAAAATCAGCACCGAAATTTTAAATTATGAGTCTCAGCATATTTATAGATGCGTCCTGAGACTCAAATTTCAAAAAATAGAAAACCTTCAATACGATGTCTATGAAGATAATTTTATATGTAAAGTGTAGACTCATGAGATCTACATCTTTATAGTTTTAATTTTTTTTGATTTGAGGACAAATATGCTGCTCGAAAAATATATATAAAATTTTAGCATCATATTTTGTCGCTGATGAGACTCAAATTTCAAAAATAGAAAACCTTCGATACGATGTCGGATGAAGATAATTTTTATATGTAAATTGTAGACCTCAATGAGATCTACAACTTTGTAGTTTTGAGTTTTTTCATTTGAGGACGTTAAGATGCTCAAAAAAATAATTTAAAATTTCGGTGCCTCCCAAAAATAGAAAATCGCTTTTGAAACCGGCCGAGGACCAAATTCGTCCGGTTTTGATAATTGGAGGGTGTTTCTCGACCGATTTCATAGTTGAAGGTTGAAAATCGAACTTTGACGCAAGTTGAAGGTTGTAAAGTGTACTTTACCCTAAAGTGGAGCCCGTCAGCCATGACGCAGATCGACGGAACACGAACGGCGTGATCAAACGCTCATAAAGACCAACCCCTCTCCGTCACGACTCGTCAGTCGTCACCGCAAGGGGTAGCTGCCGGCCTGCCGTCACCGCCTTCGCCGCCGCCGCCGCCGCCTTCGCCGCCGCGTGCGTTTCTCGAACGTTCCGGTGGCCTACAAATACCCGTTCCCCAAGGCCGGCGACGCCGACGCGGTCACGCCTCCCTCCGCCGGCTGGTTCACGTGCTCGACGACGGCGAGCGAGCGTCTGTCTAGGTGCGTACAGGACGGCGGGCGCTCAATCCGTCCACCCGCAAACTCGATTCGCTCGATTGAATGATTTAAATCGATCAGCGGCTGTTTCTGTGGCCGGATGGTGGTTCTCGTTCCTGGGGAGGCGAATTTCGCCATTTCGACCTTATAATAATTGGGGCTGGATTTAGTTGTTTGGCTATAGTTCGGCTCAAGGGTAATTTGTTAGATATAAAACTGGATTGCTCATTTTGGTTTGATTGGCTAGATGATGTTTATTAGTCCTACTAGATTAGATGCGCTTGAGGTTTCGAGCTCTCTTTTTTCATGACTAATTCCCTAGCTTCCTTCCTTGCCAGACGGATAACCTGATCAGTAGCACTGTCACATTCTTTTGGGTAATCCGAGGAATTGATAGCATAAGGTGGTTCTCGTATCAGGAGCACGATGGAAGGGAGCAGGATAGTTCGGATTTCAGTCACCTGGAGGGGCAGACAGCTCGATGTCGTTGCGGATCCAAGCTGCACGGTGAAAGAATTTGGGCAACTGCTGCAGGACTTGACTAGTGTTAAGCCAGAGACATTTTTTTTTGAACACTTCAACGGGGGGGATTGATCCCCACCTGATTTATTGAGTAAAGCTCAAGTTACATGATTACATGGACTTTGTACAGGGGGTTTTCGCTAGGATTTCAGAGCATCTAGACAGATTTCATAAGACATATTACATAGGGACCGAGTTGATTGCCATTTGGAGAACCGTGCTCCAATCCTCCGCAACTCGCTTGCTTCTCTTTGGCATACGAACTTTCCAGTTTGCTGATTCAGATTTGCATTGTAGAAAAATGGTTCTGATAGGGATCACTTCATCTCTGAAAACAAACGCATTTCGGCGTTTCCAAAGCACCCAGCAGCACATCATGATGAAGGCAATCAGATTGGTCATCGGGGATTCCAGACACTCTCTCGAATATGGTGCCGCCGTAAATGTAGGCCATCAGTCAGTATTCCGAGCACCCGCCGAAACTGTGGCAAATGATTGGGCATTCAAAGATTAGGTGATCAGCGCCTCATCATCCATTCCGCATCAGAGCGCTTTAAGCGGTCGACGATGTTCTTGGCGGTATAGGTTTGCCTGCATTGGATTCTCGCCTCGAGGAGTAGCCGAAGAACATCTCGAACCCGAGGTGGCGCCGCGTTCTTCCGTGATATAAAAGCCAAGAGGGTCATCTTGATGTCCTTGGGCTTTGAGTAGCTCAGATGGGCGAGGTGTCGAGCTTGTCCTTCGTCCGACTGAATGCCGACAACCGTGTGTCCGGTTGATCCGTCAATTGGGTTTGTTGGAGGATATCCTTAAGGTGCCGCAACTCATCATTTGCCCGCATTGACATTCGATTTACAAAGCAACCATGAAGGTTGGAGTGAATAGCTTGTCGCACCGCTGAATCTTTCCCGGTGCAATGGGAGAAGAGCCGTGGAAGATGATCTTCCAACGCCTGTCGCCATTCCGCACATCCGTCCGAGAAGAGTTGATCGCCATCCCCAATTCCACCGTTGTCGCTTGGTAAAGTGGTAGCGAAGGATCAAGTAGCTCCCAGTGATGTCCAAGATTTTCCCCTTTCATGTTTGCAATATCGCCTTACCCCGATCCATCGTGCCCATGCCGATGCATCGCCAGCAGGGAGGCGGTGGACAAGGTTAAGCAAAGAGATGTTGTGTGTGCCGAAGTCCCTGATTCCAAGCCCCCCAAGTTCTTTCGTGGTGCAAACGTTGGTCCAGGCCACAAGACATTTGCCGGCTGAAAATTCTTTGTTGCCGGCCCAAAGAAAGGAGCGGCGGCGTTTGTCTATCTGGGAGATGGTTTCTTGGGGAATCTGCATTGCTGACATGATGTACACCAGCTGTGCATCTAGGACCGAGTTGATCAAAACGACTCGACCCATGGTATTGAGTAGGGAAGCTTGCCAGGAGGAGAGGAATTTGTCCATCTCCTGCCGACATACGTTGAGAAAGCCGAGATCGGCGCTTCGAGGCCGATAGAGGGAGGCCTAGGTAGTTTTGAGGGAAAGACTGGTGGGCACACCCCATGATGGTGACACAGTTTGCTGCCAAGCCAGCGTCCATGTGAATGGGGACTAAGGTGCTCTTGCTGTAGTTGATTTTTAGACCTGTGGCCTCTGAGAAAGCTTGCAGGATATTCTTCAAAGCTTGGATATCAGCAACCAGCAGAGTATCGTCCGCATACTGAAGAACCGCGCAGGGGCTGTCACTGTCCACCGGACTCCTGATTGTCGCTGCTGACCGGATCATAGCCTGAAGAGAGTCAGCCACCAGAAGAAAGAGGTAGGGCGACAACGGATCGCCTTGTCGTAGGTCCCGTTTGCATGTAATCCAAGGGCCCGGGCAGCCATTAACAAGCACCGCCGATTTCGATGAGGATAGGATATCCTGCATCCACGCACACCATCTGTCATGAAACCCCCTGGCCTTTAGAATAGAGTCCAAACTCTCCCAAATAACTGTGTCAAAGGCCTTCGCAAAGTCTAACTTAAGCACCAAGGTCGGCAGTCTCCTTTTGTTGCAAGTCTGAATCAGTTCAGCTGCAAAGACGAAAGTTTCAGAGATAGAGCGACCCTTTAAGAAGCCTATTTGGTGTAGGTCAATCAAGTTCCCAATCTCTTTCTGCAGTCTTCTTGTGAGCATTTTGCTAAGTATCTTGATGGAGCAATTTTGTAGGTATATTGGTCTGAATGCGTCCACAGCTACAGCTCTAGGCTTCTTTGGGATAAGCACCATGTAAGAACGGTTGATCCTCTCTAGCTGCACTTGCCTCTGGTGGAAGGCTTGCAGGAAGGCCATGACCTGCGACTTTATACTGCTCCAGGCCACCCTGTAAAAAGAAGGTCCGAAACCGTCGGGGCCTAGTGCACTTGATCTGTCCATGGATTTCAGAGCTTCGAAGGCTTCCAATTCAGAGAAAGGAGCGATGAGCTCACTGGACGGCCGCTGTCTGTCATGGAAGAGAGCATGCACATCAAAGTTCTAGGCTGAGGTCCCTGGGTCGCCGATGATGGAGCTGAAAAAGTTGGTGAGAGCTTGTATTTTCCCGTCATGGTTGGCAATCACCGAGCCGTGCACTTCAACCCATCGGATGGTGTTGTTTCGCAGACGGACGGTGGCCTGGGCATGATGAAAGGCAGTGTTTGCATCGCCTTCCGTGATTGCCCGGAACTTACTACGCTGCTTCCAGTAAGCTGCTTTCTCTTTGATTGATTGGGCGAGGCAGTCAATACAAGTCTTGCGTGCCTGTAACTCATCAAAAGAAAGAGGCCGCTCCTCAAAGGAATCAAGTAAGAGGATAATAAATTTGCAGTTGGAAATTATTTGGCGAGGCGCCCTGAAACGCCGTGCCCAAACCTTTGTCGCGGCTCTAGCCGACTTGAGACAAGCTGCAAGCTAACCCGCCGCATCGCTGCATACACGCGCTTCAGCCCACGCTGGAAGGACAGTTTGTAGGAAATTTTGACGGGGCAGCCAAGCATTCTCGAAGCGGAAAACACTGGATTTCGGAATGGAGGTGGACATGGAAAGAAACAACGGGGTGTGGTCGGATGTTGGCTTTGCCCTGGGTGAGAGTGAAGTATCAGGGAAGGTAGTAGTGTGGGCGAGGTTGACCAGTGCTCGATCAAGCTTGGCTAGGATTGGAGGTTCCTGGCCGTTGGACCAGGTGAAGTTACGTCCAAGCAGTGGGATTTCCATCACCCCCAAGGAGTTGATGGTGTCATTGAAGGTGTTCATAAGAGGGATGTTGACATTGACGTTGTTTTTCTCATCCCCCGACCGATAAGATTGAAATCTCCGATGATGACCCAGGGGCCATTGATATTGGAGGAAAGGTCATGAAGTTCATGAAGAAAGTCGCTAGAGTGACGATGGTCTGACGGACCGTAGACATTTGTGACAGTGAGTGAGTGGTCAGACAACGTGCTGACGAGAAGAGTAGTGAGCGAGTGGTTTTTGAGAGTGAAGTCGGAGCAGGACCAGTAAGATTGGTTCCAGGCAGTGACAATGCCACCCCTAGACCCAACGGCTGGTATGTATTTGTAGCTGCAGGCAAGTTGAGGGGGTAGGAAGGTTTTGATTTTGAACTGATCGATGCTGTGCAATTTTGATTCTTGGACGCACATAACAGTTGGGTTAGCAGAAGAAATAGCATCACGTACAACATTGCATTTATCCGGGTCGCCTAGGCTGTGCACATTCCAAGACAAAACAGAGAGGGAACGATTTGATCCAGAGTTGAGAAGACTCATTTCAGAAACAGATAACACCCAAGAGCAGATCAATAGTTACATGAAAGGTGGTTTTAAGAGAAAAAACACGAACAAACGAACAAAGCTTGAGCTTAACACTAAAGGCGAATAGCTTGGCCTCATTGGAGCAGAACCCGGACGACCGTCTCGATCCGGGTCCCGGAGAGCGATGGTACGGAGGCCTTCATTCCGCAACGTCATTCCACGCCGATCGAAGCGGCGGAGGAGCAACCAAAGATGGGCTGCCGAGACGAGCTGCGGATCTCCTTGGCGCTCATGGGGATCTTGTTGCGGGTCGATGTTACGCTTAGTCACCGCTTTTTGAGAGCGGAGGAGCAGCCCGCCAACGCGCTTCACCAAGGCTTTGCGACGAAACGCTTGGTTCGGGATATTGACGGCGCGCCTTCGTCTGCTTCGGCGATCGTCAAGCGCCAGGCCGTGAGGGAGGCAGGAAGTAGCGTCGCCCGCTTTGTGCTGGTGTGGCGTCGCGCAGACATAGCCCGGGACACGCGCGGCGCGTCCCGGCGGGCGGCGCGCACAACAAGAATCGGCGGGGTGACGAAGTCAAAGCTGAGAACAGAGGAGGCGTGAGGAGGAGACGAGGCCGGTGCAGCCTCCTGGAGCTCTTGCCCGCCTTCGTCAGGGACTGGCAGCCCAGGGGAGCTGACAGTCGACCGCGACGGCTCGAGGACGAAATGTTGTTTGGCGCCATTTAGGAGACACCGAGCCAGCGCAAGAGCTAGGCCCAGAACATGAGCCGGGTTCGCGTTCACGGCGCGGTCCCGGGCAGGCATAACAGCATCAGGTGCCGTTGGAGGGAAACGCCGGTTTGTCGGGTGTTGGGGAGGCTGGCGCTGCTGTTCCCGCCAGAAGGGAGCAGGGGGGCCCTGCTGGGGTCCCACCAGAGACATTGAAGCTCATTGTTCCGCAATCTACAAACAAAGGCTCCAAGCTGATCACGCCATTTTCGGATCCGCATTCGAGATTGACTCTGAATGAAGCGGATATTAGCGAGGTAAGATGTGGCTATTGGCTAGCGCGCGCAATTCGCATACTCATTGGCGTGTCGCTTGCTAGTGGATATTGCAACGGTAGCTGGCGGGTGAAATCATTGTGACTCGATCTTTTTTTTCGTGATACAGGGAAAACCTATCCGGATGATGGGGGTTTATGATGATGAAATCGAGGAGGAGGTATCTGACAATGGCAAAAGACCTGACCAACGTATAATTGGATTTGATGAAGAAGAACAGCGGCTTAGGCAAAGATCATCAGGCAGGCCACAGATTTCGCTCAAACTTCCTCAGGGACGATACATCTTCTGTGATTTTCGGACACTTCACTTACCTGGGATTGAGGTTAGTCAACCCCCCTGCTCCCACCTGCTTTGTAATGCCTGGTGCCTTGCAGATGTTCCAGTTTTCCTTTACAGTGCCTTGCTTGAATGTACACTCTTCACCTCCCTCAATAGGTTCATTTGAGCAGTATGTACTTTAACTATTGGCTAATGGTTTAAGGAACTACATTAGTGTATTTTTGCACAAAGTTCTGTCTAGGACCGCATGTAAACACTGGGAGCTGAAAAAAAGTGCTAATTGCTTTCTAGTGTCAACAATAAAATGGTTTCGGTTGTAAAACCTTGTCTAGAGCATATTTGTGCAAGTACACACATTTCTAATTTGTATGGCCTTGTATGTGCAATCAGGCTCTTTTGACTTAAGCTTCTGTACCTGTTTACTTACCTTTTCCCAGCCAGCTGAATCCTCCACCTTCGGAAGCTCTGAAACGAATGCACATGCTTGCATGCGACCCTGGTATAATTGTGATCATGAAAAAGGTAATGGCCTTCAAGAAGTAATCCTATGCTTATTAACAGAGTTCCATCATTTTTATTTGACTTCATTGTTGTTGTTTTCAGCATAAATGGAGAGTCGGAATCATGACTGAGATGACTCCTGTTGGATATGTAGGCGTTAGTCCGAAATGTATTTTAGGTTTCAATAAGGTGAACATAAACTGCTACAATTTGTATATAATAGAAAAAAGTAGTGCATTAGTTTCTGAAAATATACCTGTGGGTCTTATGCAGAACATGGGAGAGGAGATATCTCTTCGCCTACGAACTGATGACTTGAAGGGATTCAGGAAGTACGAAAGTATCAAGAAAACTCTACTTCATGAGCTTGTATGTAATTTTTGGCTTTGCTAAAGATTTCCCTTATAGTTTTTGTTCACTGCATTGGGTCTTTTGTATCTTACGCTGAGTGCCTATATTGCAATTGCAGGCACATATGGTGCACTCTGAGCATGATGCGAACTTTTTTGCTCTTAATAAGCAGGTGTTTCCTAGATACTCCCATCACATTCGGTTGCCCTCTCTTTACATTTGAGTTTATTCAATCTTATATTTGCTTTAATATCTGGCAGTTGAATGAGGAAGCTACTTCCATGGACTGGACCAAGTCTACAGGTCATATGTTGAGTGGTCGCAAAATCTTTGATTCATATGAAGAGGAATTTGTTCTAGAACCAGAGATAACTGTTGCTGGTCACAGGCTTGGGGGAGAATCAAGTTCGCTGGCTAGTGCTCGTGCATTGTCAGGGGCTGCTGCTTACCAGCGTTTTTTGGATGCATCTGCTAAGGCGGATCATGATGCTTCAGGCACTAAAATTGAATATAATCCTGATGATGTTCCTCAAGATTTTGTTCATGAAACTTTGAAGGTAGATCCAGATCCAGATGATGCTATGCATGTGGATTCAGCAGCTGGGATATCATTGGCAGGACAGCCTACTATCAGTTACTCTGAGCCTGATCCTGATGATGTTGAGAAGCATGAGAAGCAAATTTCTGATAGATGCCTACAACCTGATCCTGTTGATTCCTCAAATGCTAATAATCTGAACCAGGAGCTGAGGTTTGATGGATGACACCATAGCGAACCTGATCCTGATGATGGTACTAATGAAGTTGTTCCGGAATCTGGAAACAAGATGGAAGTGAATAGTGAACTGGCAAACAGCATCGCAGTTTTGAAGTATGAATCTGACCCTGCTGATTCCTCAAATGCTATTGTCAACCAGGAGTTGGTTATCGATGGGAAGCATGGTGAAGAACCTGATCCTGATGATACTGCTTGTCAAGATGTTTTAAAATCTGGAAATGGGACAGAAAGGATAACAGAACAAAGCGTAAACTCCACAGTTTTGAAGTCTGAACCTGATCCTGACGATCATGTTGTTGATTCAAACAGCAATGAGCTGCAAAGGATTGAAGAACCAGTGGCAGCCCTCTGTTCACGACTCCAGAAGTCCATTGAGACGCTCCGGTTGCAAGCAACACCTGCAGAGGCAGAGTCTGCTATTCAAACACTTTTTTAAGATCATCAAGATTGTTATTTGCGTAAGGTATACTTGGTTGTTCTCATTTCTCATTATTCTTGCATATTATGATGCATCAGTCATTTGCTAAAGCAAATTCTCACAAATCCTTCTCATTTCCCACATTTGCAGTCCAATCCACATTTCCAAAGGAGTGTAGCAAACTATAAAGGTATTACTGTTTGCCCCACCAGTAGCCACTGCTTACTAGATTCTTGAAATGTATTCTATACTAATTGCTTAATCTCTTTTACTCCAAAATCAGCTGCAATGGAGGTTCTTGAATTGATTGGCATCTGCGAGGATGTGATCTCAGACGAGGTTGGGCGTGCAGAGACTTACCTGGTATTGAAAAGGAATGATCCTGGATTGCTATGGCTGGCAAAGTCCTCTCTTGAAGTCTCTCTGGCTTGATAAATTTTGATACATCATGGTTGCTATTTTTCGTTGTGAATATATTTGATTATTTGAACAAGAGAACTTAGCTATTGGCATGCACCATTTTCCTGTATAGGGACTGTTGTATACTTGTATATGAATACACAAGAATGTAATGCCACTTTACTTTCTGCTCGTTGTTTGCCATATCTGTGCCTTTGTCTTGGATGGCTTTCACTCCCATGTGATGTACAGCAAGATACCGAGTTTCACTGATTCAGGAGTTCATTGTACTTGAATTGCCAGATTATGCTGCATTTGAAACAGACAGAAGGAGCAATTTTTTTTCACTGCGAGCTTCCTATATTCCATCTCTTCTGCTCTTGATAAGCAGACACTTGGTATTTATAATGCAATTATTTTTCTAGTGTCTTCTTGCAAGAATTTAGTCTGCCGTGTGCGTAGTTTTTCTGAGGGATGGAAGAAGGGAATGGTGCAAATGGCAGCCATTCTTAGAGAGGCCTCCCAAATAGTAAAGCCCTGCCGTCCTTCCTCCGTTTTGATTTCTTGTTTCTCCATTTAAGTACTGGGTTTGGGTCGCCAGATGATGTTCGGCAGGCTCGTATACGATCGTGGATTATAAGCTGGAACAATATTTTTCTCTCACACCAAAACAGCCAGCAGTAAATAATCCACGATCGTTTACGGCCTGCCGAACAGGCTGCTTGAAGCAACCAAGGTTGCTTCTTGTTTTTATCTCCCTTTCCAGTCTGTTTTAAAAAATATACGAGGAAGATGGGTTGGTGGCTCGTCGTCTGGGCAATCTGTGCGTTTCCCATCCACAGATTGTGGTCGAGACGATGCCTACATTTGGAACATCCAGCCTAATTGCACTGGTACAAATTCTTGGTATCAGTTCTGAAATACAGGACGGGTCTACAGTAGGACACCATAGAGAATAGGGTGGAGTGGCAAGGCAGCACATGCCTGCTGGCTGCCCCTGGTTGTGATTTTATCATGATCGAAGAAATAAATTGCACTTAACCAACAAACATCAAAGAACAAGTACACAAAGCTCACAACGATTTTATTAGGATTGAAGATCTAAGAACTATAGCAGCTACATGTTCCATAATAATATCCAAAAGAGAACAATAATGTTAGGCTAGAACATGAACTCATCGTGGATAGGCGCCTGACAACAACATTTCTTCTTCTGTAGTGTATTGTCTACTTGCTTCCATAGTAAGTCCTTCAATTGAAATATAAGGAGCAACAATTTGATCCTTTTCATATCTCTTTGTTGCTATATTATGATGAGTATGCTTCTTCGTGGTTCTCAAGTTTTCTAGTGTCATCTCAACTTCCCGCATTGTAGGCCGATCTTCTCCATTCAATTTTGTACACATTGCTGCTAGCTTGGCAACTTCTTCAACCTTTTCAACCTCTGCCTCGTCCATGATTTGAGGATCTATTATGCCAACTAGGTCACCTTCAGTGACTAGTGATGCGAAATGTGAAACAAGGCTGTCACCATCACTAGTCCGCACAGTTGGTCTCTTTCTAGTAAGTAATTCTATAAGAAGAACACCAAAACTGAAAACATCACTCTTATCTGTTAGGCGGGATGTATAATAATACATTGGGTCTAAGTAACCAATGGTTCCTTGAATGGCCGTAGTCACTCCAGTTTGATCAATTGATATGTGCCGTGAAGCCCCAAAATCCGATACCTTTGCTGTTAAATTGTCATCAAGAAGTATATTAGATGACTTGATGTCTCTATGAAGTACTGGTGTTGAAGCAGCTAAATGTAGATACGCTAGAGCTTTGGAAGTTTCGAGGGCAATCCTCATCCGATCATTCCACGGGAGTGATATGTTTCCTTCAACATGAAGATGATGAGCAAGCATGCCATTTGATATAAACTCATAAACCAACAGTGGAACTTCTGTCTCTAAGCAACACCCAAGGAGTTTGACAATATTCCTGTGGTTGTTGGGAAAGAATTGCAACCTCATTTATGAAATCATCAATTTCTTTTTGTACTATGATCTTTGATTTCTTAATGGCCACAACTTGCAGGTCTAGCAGTCCCTTATAGACTATACCATGCCCTCCACCACCAACTTCATGAGATGGATCAAAATTGTTTGTAGCCTTCTCTAGCTCTCCCAAGGTAACGATCATTCTTTCACCAATATCTAACTTCTGTGATACCAATTGTTGGAGTAGGAGCCCATGATTTTGCTTGAAAAATCTTTGTTTTGTCTTTTTAACCTTATGCTGCTTGATTTTACGTGCCACGAAGGGTGCACCAATTGCCAAAAGCAAAAAAAACCGTGCCACCACCGACAGCTAGCCCAATTTTCAACACTGAAATGTATGGTTTAAGAGGCAATATCATAATTTGGATTCAGCTAGAAAGCATGTTCAGTAGAGAGAAACAATTTGTTAGTGATTATTTCGAACTACTGCAGCCTATAGAAATATGTGATTAATAAGCACCTTATACCAGATCGGTCTAGCTAGCAGGCGGAACCCATCCTGCCCCTCGCCGGTGGCCGGCCGGCAGGTCGGCGGGCGGGATGCCTCCACCGGTCACCCTGGCGTCCTCAACTCGACAAGCCCTACGGCGCATCACAGCAAAAGATCCCATTCATCCAGCGGCGATCGTCGGCAAGTTCTGGGATCAAACGGAGTCCGATTGTGAGGAGCTGGGAGATGCGGACGCCCTGCCGCGGTTCTTCCCAAGGACGGCATCAGCGGCGCCGGCGCCGCCGATCACTGGCCCTTCTCCCGCACCTGCGGCCACGGCCACCGCATGTCAACCGATCCCGAAGCCATCCCCAAGGCGAGTCCGGTTACCATTGATGACGGCATGGAAAGGACCACTGCCACCACCACGGATCACGCCTCTACCCTCCATCGGCGATTTCATCTCGCCGGCGTTGCAGCGGCAAACTCGCCGGCGTCCGGGTGTCCATCGGCCTCAATTTCAAATTCCAAATCTTGGATCCACCGTCATCCAAAACCGGACTCGGCCCAAGCCGACGCGACCGGCTCAGGTCGCCCCGACTCGGTCGGCTACGAGACGGCCTCTGGTCGCACCGCATAAGGGCGGTCCCACGCAAGCCGAAGCCTCCACGCAACCACTTCCGAGGCCCGAGACGTCGAGTGGTCAACCCTACGATCATCGACGCCGCCGCAACCTGCGCTCCGTCATACCTCGAGGTGCTGATGGCCGGGGGAGACGGGGGAAGGAGAGGAGGCCGGGGCGCTCCTGGCAGCGGCGGAGCCGATCGCCGCCGGGGTCGCGGCCGCGCCATCATCGACGACGGACGCGGACGGGACGACGGCCAGGGACATCGAGGACGTGGTCGCGGGGGTCCGATGCACAACTCTGGCCGTGGGGGTCCAGCACCCTCTGCCGGCCGTGGAGGCCCTCCACCGGCTGGCCCTCCACCGGCCGGCGGTAGGGGCAACTCTGCCCGGGGTGGACGAAACCCTCGGCACGCAGGAGGTGAAGCTGACAAAGATCAAGGTCCAAATAGCTCTGCAACAGAGGCTGCAGTGGTTGAACAGGGACAAGCCGAGCAAGAAGAAGGGAAGAAAAGGAAACGAAACACAGTGAAGAAGGTGTGCACTATTTGCACGGATGAGCACTTCACAAATTTATGCCCTTTGTTGCGAGGCCCCAAACCCTCAGTCGCGTTGTGTGGTGCAGCTGAGGATGGGATGGGGTTTTTCCAAATCCAGGGTGCAAGAAATAATCAGATCGTGGAGACATCACAGTCTTCAATTGCAGCACTCGTCACTGTCAAAGTCGGCAAAGTATCGGCACAGTTACTTCAGGCGGAGCTCGCTAGGATTATCCCGGTCCGTTGGGATTGGGAGGTACAACAGCTGGGGGCTAACTCTTATGTTGTCCCCTTCCCCAGCAAAGAAGAACTGGATCGCATGATAGCAATAGACACCATCAACACAAAGAACAAGGAAGGCACTATATCTTTTGCTGAGTTTGTGGATGATGTGCAGCCTATTAAGGTGTTGGAGCAGGTATGGCTAAATGTCACCGGTGTCCCTAGGCGCTGCGTTCGTTCCTATCATTGTAGGCGTGGGGGACTATTGTTGAGCTACGCAGAAGGTGGACATGGTTCATCTCAGGCAACAGTCAAGCCCGCATTCTAGTGGCTGTTTTTGACCCCAAGAAGATACCAGTATGGCGGACGCTTGTGTTGGCACTAGTATCTACCGCCTATTTTTCAAGGCGGAGGAAGATTTACAAGCCGACACCGGTGCTTGATCCGTCTGATGAGGACTTGTTGAGTGATAAAGATCTGGAGGAGGAGACCGTGAAATGGAAGATGCGGAAGATCCTAACCCGCAGAACCCTCGGGATAATAGGAAGTCTTCCCAACAAGCACCGCAAAGATACTCAAAATGTCCCACCTATGCAACAGGCAAATCTAGTAGATGAAGCTTTGGACTTGGCCTGTGAGCAACTCTTGGATGAGATCAGGTCTTAAAGTTGCTTTGAGTCCGACTGGGGACTACCAGAAGAGTTACTCTCCACCAACACAAGAAGAATTAGCGCTTTTTAACTCTAATAATACTCTTTTTTTTCTCATTGTTGTGCCACTACCTTCGACAAAGATTGCTAGTACATTTGTCGACGCTTGGAGTGAGGGAGGAGAGGCTTTACTCCGCCATTGCCCTCCCCCCGCCACCACCGGAGCTGGTGTCTCTTGCTGCCCCTATTGATATAGGGTGCGGCCTCGTTGGGGGCTCATCGGAGGCGGCCCTCTCTTCTACTTCTACAGCGGTGGAGACCGGTATCATGACGTCGGTCCCTGCAGCGGTGGAGGAACCAGAGTACGCCCCCGCTGCACAGGGACGTGGCCCGGCACCCCCACCACTGGAGGTCACCGCCCTGATGGCTGCACAGGGAGGTGGCTCGGCCACATCGACGGAGGAGACGCCCGGCTTGACTCGTCGTCACCCAATGTTGAGGTGGCTCAGTGATGGAGTCCACCACTCATGGAGGTTCGGGAGGGGGGGCCTACTTCGCCACTCGCCCCCATCCCACGCCGACCGGGAGAGAGGCAGGTGGTGGTGCCGGCCTCACACTACTGGGAGAGGTAGCGGGACTACCGCCATCGCTACTTTTCTCCACCCAGCTAGAGAGGCTGTGGAGACGCCATCGCCTGCTGCACCTCTCCCCTGCTACGACCTTGGGAGAGGCAGCGGTGGCACCACCGGTGCATCTCAGGCCGCCTTGGAGGCAAAGATTGTTGGAAGGAGCGGGTGCTACCTCACCATCTCTTGAGGGAGCCTCCAATCCCACACCTGTGGTGGTTCCCATCAAAGAACTACGACGGAGCACCAGAAACGCAACTTTAGCGGATGTTCATACACTCCATAAGGCGGAACGTTTGACGGCGGTAAAAAGAACCTCAATTCTCGTGTAACTCTTTTAATACCTTTCCAGATTCGAAAATTATTTCAAACCTTGGTAGGGTAGGCATCAACCTAGAATCCTCTCACTGCTTGCAGTTTTAAAAATATTGAGGTAGCTAGGTCAGCCTTTTGTCAAAATACAAAAAAAAGGTTGTTCTTCCTCTAGGTGCTCTGATATAGAGAGTGATGTTGAGAAAGAGGACCACCTTGAGGGTATTCTCAGCCACGCTTGTGGAGATCTAAATGAGAATATGCCGGTTGCTGAGTTGGATTCCATCATTGATGCACCACCTCTCAGTACAAAGAAGATTTATAACAATGCCAAAATTCGTGGCAAAGTCAAACTTCTTAAAAAGGCCAAAACCCCTTCTAAAATCATTATAAAATGAAGGGAGTTTTCTGGAATAGCAGAGGTCTTGCAGACTTGGCTAAACATAGGTACTTGAGGGAACTAGTTAAGGAAGAGCAAATCAATTTTATTGCAATTTCCGAGACTGGACGTGAATCCTTCCCAGATCATGTCCTCAAAGATCTTTGTGCGGGACATGAGTTTCTTTGGCACACCATGGCCCCCCATGGTAGATCAGGGGGCATTCTTTTAGGGGTTGATCTGAATTTTTTTGATATTGGAGCAATAGATGAGGGAGATTTTTATGTAAAATTCACCCTACGGTGCAAATCTAATGACTTCAAGTTCGTACTATATACAGTATATGGACCTGCCCAAATTCAAAACAAGAATGCTTTCCTGGTAGAACTAGCTAACACTTGCTCTAAAGAATCTCTTCCTTATATAATAGGAGGGGATTTTAATATAATGCGAGAGCGAGAAGATAAGAGCTCAGGGGATTTTGACTATAAGTGGCCTAATCTTTTCAATGCTGTCATTGATTCTCTGGATCTTAAAGAGATTGTCATGTCAGGCCGCCAATATACTTGGGCAGGACCTGGAGATGACCCGACTTTTGAAAAGTTAGACAGAGTCCTTGTGACCACTGAATGGGAGAATCAATTCCCACTCACTACAGTTGAGGCTAGAGATAGAAATATCTCTGACCATACCCCTCTCGTTCTTAGCACTGGCCACTCGACCCACCAGTTAAATAATCACCCTTTCAAATTTGAGAGAGGGTGGCTATTAAGGGAAGGGTTTTATGGTATGGTTGCAAATATCCGCAATCTCCTTGTTCAGATCAAATTCTCTGGAGCGGTGGCAATCCAAAATCCGCAGACTTCGGACGATGTTCGAGGGGATGGGCTAAACATACCGCCGGTCTTATAAAAAGAGAAGAAGACTATACTAGGACGCTTAGAAATTCTTGACAAGAAAACTGAGACTTCTCAGTTATCTGATCAAGAAATTAATTTAAAACATTATTTAAAAGAACGTCTAGTTAATCTGCTGAGAGAGGAGGAACTCAAGTGGTATGAGCGTGCCAAGGTGAAAACACTATTGGAAGGTGATGCTAACACTCGTTTCTTCCATCTAGTGGCTAATGGGAAACACCGAAAGCAAAGCATATCTACAAACTTGAAAATGATCAAGGTGCTGTAATTGGTGATGATTGCCTCAAAAGCCATATTACAAACTATTATAAGAATCTCTTTGGGTCCCCCGAACAATCTGCTATCACTCTTGAGGAGGATCATATCGTAGATATTCCTCAAGTGTCCCCGGAAGAAAATGATATCTTAATTAGTCCATTCACCGAATCTGAGGTGAGGGATGCAATCTTCCAGATGGAACATAATAAAGCTCCAGGACCAGATGGTTTTCCTGCGGAATTCTATCAGGTTTTTGGGAAATTATCAAGGAGGACCTTCTTTGTCTCTTTGCGCGACCTACATTTGGAGACACTTTCGATCTCTCACAGCTTGAATTTTGGAGTCATTACTCTAATTCCAAAGATTCAAAATGCCACAACAAAATTCAGCAATATCGACCAATTTAAGTCCTCAATGTGAGTTTCAAGATATTCACAAAAGTGGGCACAAATAGATCAATACGGTTGCCAAAACAAAGGTGAAACCAACACAATGGGCCTTTATGCCGTAGGAATATTATGGAAGGTGTGGTAATTCTCCACGAAACCATCCATGAATTACACTCTAAGAAAAGAAACGGAGTCATTTTCAAAATTGACTTTGAAAAAGCATATGACAAGGTCAAGTGGTCGTTCTTACAACAGACTTTTATGTATGAAAGGTTTCTCACCTAAATGGTGTAGGTGGGTTCGAAATATGGTCTCTGGAGGAAGTGTGGGGATTAAAGTTAATGATGACATTGGCCCATACTTCCAAACCGTAAAGGGGACTCGGCGGTGATCCTATGTCACCTATCTTATTTAACATCGTCACCGATATGCTAGCTATTCTTATTAATAGAGCAAAAGCGGATGGGCGATAAGTGGAATTATCCCCACACTGGTTGATGATGGTTTATCAATCCTACAATATGCGAGATGACACCATCATGTTTCTAGACCACGATCAAGAACAAGCGAAAAATCTCAAACTTTTACTATGCGCCTTTGAACAATTATCCGGGCTCAAAATTAATTTCCACAAGAGTGAGATTTTTTGCTTTGGGGCAGCCAAAGAAATGGAATCCTTCTACACCGATCTCTTTGGTCAGTAAAGCGGGAATACCCTTCAGATATCTAGGCATCCCTATGCACCACCGGCAACTCCTTAATTCTCAATGGAGAAAAGTTGAAGAGCGATTCAACAAAAGCTCTCATGCCGAAAGCGAAATACTTATCCTATGGGGACGTCTAGTACGCTTAATTCAGTATTACAGCAAATTTCTACCCATGTTTATGATGTCTTTCTTTGAGATCCCAAAAGGAGTTATCAAAAACTCGATCATTTTAGGTCGAGGTTCTTCCGCAAGGATCCTCGAGAAACATAAATACCGCCTTGCCAAATGGGATATCATTTGTCGTCCCAAGGATCAAGGTGGACTAGGTATTCTGAATTTACAACTGCAAAATAAATGCCTACTAGCAAAATGGCTAGTGAATCTCATGAACACAGAAGGCATATGGCAAACGCTATTACGAATAAATACCTAAATTCAAAAAGTTTATCCTGTGTCACGGCAAAGCCAAATGATTCACATTTTTGGAGAGGCCTCATGCATATCAAGGATGAGGTGCTGGCAAAAGGTTCTTTCGATATTAAGGATGGAACCACGGCTAGATTTTGGGATGATGTATGGGTAGGTGCTAGGCCTCAAAAAGTTCGTTATCCATCTTTATATAATATTGTGAGAGATCCTCACGCTACAGCCTCAAAGATAATGAGCACTAGCCCTCCTGAATATTTCTTTTAGGAGGGCTCGTGGGTAATAAACTTACGAAATGGCTTAGTCTAGTAGCAAGTATTTCTCATGTCGAACTAATAAATGGATCTGATCATTTTAGATGGAGTTTAACCAGCTTTCAGTTCATTCTCAATCAGATCCATGTATCTCAACCTTATAGATACAAATACATCTTTTCGGCATAGGAAGATTTGGAAGATAAAAGTTCCTCTAAAAATAAAAATTTTCCTCTGGTTCCTACAAAGAGGTGTCATTCTTACCAAAGATAACCTGTCTAGGAAAAATTGGAAAGGGAGTCAGAATTGCGTTTGTTGCAATGGGAATGAAACTATTCAACACTTATTCCTGGACTGCCCTATTGCCATAATGATTTGGAGGATTATCTTCTTTGCTACTATTTTAACTCAACCTAGATCAATCAGCCACATGTTTGGTAACCGGGTCGTCTAATCAAAATAAAAGGATTAGAAATTTGATTTGGGTGGGAGTGGCTGCTATGTGTTGGGCTATTTGGAGATGCCGTAATGATGTTGTTTTTAATAAAATAAAATCTAACTCTATTATGCAGGTCATTTTCGGGGAGCGTCATCGGTTACGCTTTGGCCCAAATTGCAGCGTGTAGAGCAAGCTAAGGACGCGCTCTCGACAATAAGCAAGAAATTAGAAGTTATTGCTCTAGAGATATCCAATAACGGATGGAAACAATTTTATTGTTTAAGTTAGCGTCTTGGTCATGTTATAAGACCTTGGCTTTCTTTTTGGTTTTATCATTATCTGTAATTTTGGGCTGTGTACATCTACGGATGTAGAGGCCGGATGTTTATCCATTATCTAAAAAAAAGGTATATATGTTTTGGGTATAGAGATACAAATTAAAAATCAAGTTACTACAGATGTTACACATAAGCAGCATGTCACCTGAGAGGGAGCTGCAACCCCCTTTTGTGAAGGGGTCTCCGTAGGTTCCTTGCTTACATCGGCAATGGAAAGTTCCAGGCATATTTATGCAAACCCCGTAACATGAGTGAAGCTCTGGATGAGCACACTCGTCGACATCTGAAAGGTACAGCATGGTTAAAATATGAACAGGTTGCATATTATTGGAGAACTGATCGAGCTATATAAATTAGAGATGGGTAGTAAAATTTATGAAAATATTTGCAAGGAAAATGGATAGAAAAGCAACCTACATAGATAAGAACTATTTAAGGTATAGTATAGCCATGTGAGAATCAATTCTTGGACACATAACTTTCTAGTAGCTGTTTCCTTGAGAATATGTACATATGGTTGGCTAGTGCGAGTTCTGTAATCTGTATGGCCTTAGCGCAATTAACCAGAGAATCGGGAGGCACACTGGCGAGTGGTTTCAAACTCTTATCCCATCCGTTTTCATATCAGCTTTGTTCTAATAAATCAAATATTTAAATATTTCTATCTTTGACTACCAATTTAAATTTCAAAAAAAAAAAAAAATTGTATACGTTAACAACATAAGATGATTTATGTTTGTAGATTTATTATGAGAAATACTTTCATGCATG